AAAAAAAAAAAATAGAAAAAAAGGGGGGTAACTTCTTTTTTTTTTTTAACATCTCATTTCCCTGCAAACAACAGATATTCATTTCCAAAAAAAATACACGTAAACTTAGGGACCATATATCTCGATTTTTTTTTTTTTGTTGATTGATTGATTGATTGATTAACTGGTGGGGGAGGGGTCTCCCCCCCCCGCGGTTGATTGATTGATTGATTGAATGATTGATTTCTTTATTCGATTTTCTTTTTTTGTTGTTGATGGATTGATTGATTGATTGATTGATTGATTGGTTGGTTGGTGGGGGAGGGGTCGCCCCACCCCCGCGACTACGGGCGGACACACACACACACACACACACACACACACACACACACAGAAAGAGAGAGTAGAGAGAAAGAGAGAAAGTATTGTGGGGGGGGAGGCGGGAAGAGAGAGACAGAGAGAGAGAGTGTGTGTGTGTGTGTGTATGTGTGTGCGCGTGTGTGTGTGTGTGTGTGCGTGTGTGTGTGTGTGTGTGTATGCGCGCGCGATTCCAAGATCGCCGCGCGAATGTGTAGAGTTTTAGTTTTGGATTTTTTAAAAATCTTAAACAAAGTCGGATTCCAAAAAAATATATATAGGAGTGTAGGGTTTTTTTAGCCCTACACGCCCATAATTGTTTTTTTTTTTTCATGCATTAGGAAAAAAAATAAAAATCTTGCACCGAAGTCGGCTGGTCGGCCTAGGCCGAACCCGGCCGATTCAGCCATCGGCCTAGGCCGCGGCCGACTTGGACCCCCCTGTCGCGGCCGGGCGTGCAATATAGGATCAAACTGGCCAGGCAATCTAAAAACAATGGGGCCATCATATTCATCGACTTCGAAAAAACCTATGATTACGTGGATTGGGTCTTCTTGGACATGTGTTTGCAAAAGCTCAACTTCGGGCCAGACTTTAGGAGATGGATTAGGATCCTCCATTCCAGCGCAACTACCAGAGTCATGGTTAATGGTAACCTGCCCCCCCCTATTAATCTGCAAAGATCTGTACGGCAAGGGGACCCCATAGCCCCCTCCCTGTTTGTAATCATTATGGAAGCGCTGGCCGCCAACCTCCGGACTCATAAGGATATCAAGAGAATTCGAGTGTCCGCCACTCCCGAGGAAGCAATCCCGGTGTGTTCCTTGTTCGCGGATGACCTGACTCAGATGGTGGACGCCTCCTAGGAATCAATGGAGGAAATCCAACGTATGATGGACCGATTATGTCAACTCTCAGACATGTGCGTCAACTGGGGAAATAAAACCCAGGGATGGTGGATCCACCACCAAGGAGTGAGGCCGCCAGGGCAACCCTGGCTTAAATGGCTCCTGGAAAATGCGCCCATTAGAGTGTTGGGGGTATCAATGACGGCGGAAGGCCGACCATCAAGCAATAACGAATGGCTCACCGGGCCGCCCCTCGCAAAAATGACACTCTGGAAGAACAAATATACTTCGCTGTTTGGACGCTTCCTGCCTATCAACAACGTGGTGCTGGCCTCGTTATGGTACAAGTCGGCCATCTGGGCCCTGGACAAGAACGCCCTGCACCCATTAAAGCGACAGATAACAGCCTTCCTCTGGAGGAGTGACCACGAGGCAGCAAACGTGATCCACCGGGTGGCATGACACTCTTTAATCCAGCCAAAAACAAAAGGGGGCCTCAGCCTTCTTGACCCGCAGGTGCAGACCAAAGCCCTTGCGGTGCAATGGATCAAACGACTGATTTTTTATCCCGACGTCCCATGGAAAGGATTGGCTCTAA